CATGTGGAGTGCGCGACGGTTGGCAGGAATGTCGTTGCACGCAGTAAATATAATTTCCTGGACAGATTCATTTAAATACCTTTTGTCAATGAACGGGTTGAACACGTCTTGTGACGCGATAAAAAAGAATTATGGGCTGTCGTCGACGCAGTCTCAGTATAAGTTTTTTTTTATAATTATCTCATGTGACAAATATTTTAATTAGAATACTTTGACGTTGTTAATTATAAGAAAAGTGTTTGGATAATTAGAGGTATGTTAGAAACAAAGTTGATTTAAGTTTGTAGTACTCTGCCTCTCATATTGTTAACATCTTTTTATGTAAATAAAATGCAATCGTTAACTTGGCACTTTAAGACATCATCTTTTTATTATTTTATTTTACATAACAGCTATGTAGGGAGTAAATTTCATATATTTCCTTAAACAAATTCATAAAATAAAACTCCCTATAACAAAACAAAAAGTAAACATGAGTATCGTAGAACACTCGTCTGGATGGAACGAAATTAAAAATAAACATAAGTTTACAACTACACACAATACGCTACGAAATAGCCGATAGTCGTGAAGGAAAATTGTGACGGAAAAATCCTACATTTCTTTTCGCCTAGCCCTAGCCCCCATCCACCAAGTCCGCAGCGTGCGATAAGGAACTTCGTTCAAAAAAAACTGACATGTCATCAACGAAGGATGTCATACAACAACGAATGCTGACAGCATTCGGTACAAAAACTGCATAGAATAAACACTGAGAGCGTAAGTGGCCTTATCCCAAAGTTAAAAGTGTCTAATCCCCGTGCAAAAGTGATGATAAAAGGACACGCATTATCGCAACTGACAGATCTGGGAATGGTATTGTTGCACGGTGTGTTGGGTTAATGTCATTACAAAGAGTACAACAAGTAGTGCACAATGTCTAGGATAAAATGTTACGTGTTGTAATTTGTAAGAGAATTCTGTTCTGCTGTTAATAGAATTTAAGATTTCTTGAGACATACAGTTAGTTTATATAATTAATATAAGCGACGCCACGTTGGTACAGATAATATGAACTGACAGATTAAAAACAAACGTGAGTGTTATGGCGCACTTGGTTGGAACGAAGTTAAAATATATATATATGTATACATATGTATGTACGTAACACATACAATACACTACGAAACAGCTGACGGTCGTGACGGTAATTTTTTACACTTTTTTGGCCTAGCCTCCATCCGCAAAGTCCGTACCATGCAATACGGAACTTCGTTCCAAAACATACTTATATTACAATTAGGGAAATAATGAAATTATAAAAAAAAAATAGTTTTAGAGACCCTCTACTAGGTGATAAATAACCAAATTACCTACTGTAAGTTTGTCAATTTGCATTTTTTCATATAGTCTCAACACAAACTTGATTAAGTTATTATATAACAATAAATAAAAACTGTAACAGTCAGGCTCATCGAAACAAAAACTTAAAGGTCTACTTCAGAGTTATATAACATGACTTTCTTGAAAGTATATTTCCAACGATATTTCATTAATAAATCTCAAACAGTGTTTTTAATGAAAACGTCCTGTATTTTTTTCGCAACGTGCTCAGCCATTTTATAAGTGCAAAGTGTAACAATTCGTAAGAGGACTGATGACAAAGGTTCCCGTTAATCCCCAGTCATTTAAGGATACTACAAATAAAAGTTTGGCGGCCGTGGCCACAATACCCATTGACGTGGGCCCACGCTGCGCTCCGTGAATGGGCAGGCGTCGAAAAAAATATATTAGCCGCTCGTATAATGGCGCCGAACGCATAGAAGTTGGTACTCCACTTTGATAGAGGATGACTGGATCTTAACACTGGTTTAGATGCTCTTTTATTTTGGGAGTGAAACTTTTTTTTTAGAATGTGTTATCCTAATGGGCTGTACAGACAATAGGCTGTTTTTAAAAGACTCTCTTTTTTAATAATACGAGTGTGTAGATGGTTTACTAATAATTGTGACTTGTGTGTAATGCACATATGCTTAGCTTGCTAAAATATGGTTTAACTAATATGTTACACGAAAAATAATTTGTGTTTCGCCTAATTGATAACTTTGTAACACAGAATTTTACTTTGTCGTTGAATCATGTAATTAACATTATTCAAGTTTATTTTCATTTCATTTTATTCATTCTTGTCGACTAATTGTAGAATTCATAATTCAGTATACCTATGATTTTGCTATAAAAAACGCTCACTTGACAGGTACTTCGTTCTTACTTGTGCTTAATCCAAGTAGGATTAAGCCTTTAATCAAAATTGTAAAAGTTAATATGAATGTGGATATGTAATATAAAGATAAGTACAGTAAATAGATTCTCGTGTTCGAGAAAAATAACGTTTGAGTCATTGTGTAAGATAATATTTCAAAAACCAACTTATTTATATTCAAAATAAGAGATCAATATCGTGTATCATCTGTAATAAGATGTATGCTGGTATCAATCTATTGTTCAGCATTAAAATTACCAAATAATGTAATGTACCTATTAGAAAAAGTATCGGCCGATCGGCCCGAACAATGCGTATTGTTCTTTCAATTCAATGCGTCGTAAAATCTATTGGCGGATCGGATATTTGGCTCGGATACGGATGGATGTTCGGATAAACGGATACTTATTCGATTTGAGACCGCCGCGGCTCGTTTTCGTGACAACTTTCAGTGACTGATTGTTTGTTGAACACGTAGGGAATTACAATGGAACCCTCTCTTTATTGTCATTGGTATTGACTGATTGCAATTTCGATATTGATTGAAACTTTATGAAATGACATATGTTACGAAAAAAATCTAAACACTTCTATGAACAGCTTCACAGTCTGTAGTATGAATAAGGATATTGTAAAAATAAGGGCAGGTTCTATGGTAAACTGCATGACTTAACTTCAACTGGTGAGAGAAGTATTTTCTTTTCTTACTATGTCAGTCAGCTTATGCTGTGGTAGAGTCCTGGTTGACCATATTTAAAAAATATGACCTTTTCGTCATATGTTAAGTTTTCTTTTTATCTTAATATATATAAATCTCGTCTCACAATGTTTGTCCTCAATGGACTCCTAAACCACTGAACCGATTATAATAAAATTCGCACACCATGTGCAGTTCGATCCAACTTGAGCGATAGGATAGTTTAAATCTCAAATTATAGTCGCAATTTTAATTTATTGCAAATTATTACTTTTGGGCGGTACGAAGTTCGCCGAGTCAGCTAGTTTATTATATAAAAAGATACGCATTTTGCACTGCTTCTCCAAACAAACTTTAATTATGAAAATATACACTAACACTTCCCAATGTTATTTTTATTGACCTTATCTCACACTTTTGCGTATGCAAATTTGCTAAAATAGGTCTAAAACACTTTCCTTGAGATATCGGTTTTATTCTGTATTATATAAAAGGCAACCGTTACTGACTGACTGATCAATCAACGCACAGCTCAAACCAAAGAATGGATTGTGCTGAATTTTGGCACACGTATAGCTATTATGATGAAAGCGTGTGCTAAAAAAGGATTTTTCACAACTCACCCCCTAAAGGGGTAAAACGGGTGTTCAAAGTTTGTATGGAGCATCAACATCGCTAGGTTAATGCTTTAACTAAATAAAGAAATACCTATTTCAGGTTATTGAAAAATCATTTGGCACCATGATTGGTGAAGAATATTATCTATACAGAAGTTTTGTAGAGGTTTTATTTATTTGAGTTTGACATTCATTCATTCGCCTAAAATTAAATCTAAGGCGAGCGAAGTCGCGGGCAAAAGCTAGTTAATATGCATTATATTAAAAAAACGATTAGTTTAAGTCTAGGTAAGAAAATTATCCACCTGCTTAGGTCAAAAGTAATTAATTTCAATTAAATATTATTAGTCATCTTTATTACCTACTTTTCTTTCTTGTAACATCATCATACCTAATTAATTTATAAGGATACAAAATTATATTTTTAAATTAATATCTAAAGAAGGAATGCTTAACTAAAATAAAATCAAACCCAAAGTCTAATAAAGTCAAATCGGTTTACCATTTATAATTTCCATACTATTTGCGCCGGACTTTGAGATCAGGGACATTCAAGAATCTTATTACAATAATTCATAGTATATTTAAACAAAACATCATGTTTATTCATATACCTAGACTAAATAATACAATTGTATAAAATAAGATAATACTTAAATGCTGAGCATCAAGGATAACGAGAGATGTTGCCGTAAGTTTTCAAAAAACTAATCTTATTCCAGAATATACATTAAAAAAGTTGACAAAGTTACCTTATATAGTTACATCATTTCACTACTTTAAATCATTATGTTTTTAAAAACCTCTACAAAAAACTAATTTCATTTTGCTTTATAGAAAATCTCGTATAAAAAAAATGGGTATAATTTTTTATTTAGAAAGGCTACAATTGAAACTTTTTAATTTTTTTTAATCCTACATAGCAAAATATCTCAAATACAAGTATTTTTCTGTCTGCGTATCCGCTGATAGAGCAGCTGTTACATACAGATACCGTATTGTTTTGACAGTTAATAAATAAGGTTTAATATCCCGTAGCAAAAAAGCGATGGTTACTGATCTGTTTCTTATTGGAAAATACCTTTACAATGCAATAATCGAAACAAAAGACACAAAAGTCATAGATGATCGGTATCCAAATATTGTTAGGGACTTTAGTTAAATAAATTTCTATGTTTACGCATGTTTATAATCACGAATGTTTTGCACACTTACTATGGTTTTATTTCCTGATGGCGCCGGCAGAGGCGCGTACATATCGGTGATCATCGTCCATTCACTAATCACTTTATATACATTTCAGATGAAACCGTGTTCGAAAAATTCAATGAACTACGCGAAAACTAACTGTCGAGTAGGTATGCAAGCACACGGGCGCCGCGCCGTCACATAGTTGGGTAGAACTCGTAACTGCGCGCGAGTCGCGAGTTACTCAACAGTCGAGTTACACAGCGAAACCTGCTTCGGGCTGCGGGGGTGTGAGGTGGGGGGAGTGGGAGGCCCCAGCCAATCCCAGCCTCTTATTGGGCCCCGCCCACTCGCGCCCCGCCCACAAGGTCGCGCGTATCGATCGCACGCGCGCACTGGGACTCCATTTTATTTCGGCTCTGCGATTTGCATATTCTTTTTTTTTGTTTCGAATTGTTGCGTAGTCTGTGGAGACCCGATCGTCTTTTCTTTCAAAATCGAGTATGTGCTTATGCTGTTACGTTTGTAGCTTTAAGAGTTGCCGTATCTACTTTCGTTTAGAAAGACGGATTGCGTTTTTTTGTTTTGTTATGTTTCATAGTAGTTTATGATTTCGTATCTACAAAAGCAAAGCAATCATGGGTCATTAGATTCCGATAACCTGGGCATTACCTTTAAGCTCTGACGTGATTTTGGTAGAACTTATTTTTTAAAGAGGAAAAGAAACGAGTAGATTAACAGTCAGTTTTAATTTTGATTTTGAACAGACGCCAGTAAATATAGAATTTGACATTAAGTAGATACGCTTTTATGATACAGCACTAAGGACTATTTGTAGTAGCAGCGATATCACATATCATTGATCCATCATCAAAACTAAATGTGTAAAAAAAAATGGGTGCGTGTACTTATGTAGGCGCGTGAGAAGTTATCCTTCTTTGGCATCGTTTAAAATTAGTTTTTAATTGCATGCAAATAATTAATTACAATAAATTAATAAAAAGTCTGGAAAATCACAGTCAATAAAGTTCAGTTTTAATTTGAAAAAATAAATAAATAATCAAAATATTAAATTAAAATCGCTACTGAATATAATTTATTAGAACATAATATGTGATTTGCACTTGTATGAAACTCAAACACGTATTCCGAATATACAAACTAGAAACATGTGGATAAATATTATAAATATGAATACCTATAACTGTTACTTTATTACAAAAAATAAAGATGTGGTTTTTGGTTCTACTACACCAATGGTCAAGAGATGGCGCTGTAGTCTCCTGAATCGCGCTTTGGTTCCGTTGTTCCAGATTAGTAAATACTTTTGATAGGCCTTCACAATGCAGTCGTTAGCACCCACTAAATAGATTCTATTTCTATTTTGTTGGTAGATTTTCTTAATGTGCGGTAAACACAAAAGTAACGCATGAAGTTGGTCGCTTTAGCGATTCATGCTGTTAATTTTTTGTGTTACAGTGATGCGCGCGCATCTTAAAATTTCACTTTCATCATTTTTTCTAAAGCCTAAAGAAGTATAACTTCAAAAATCTACTTTTCTTATTTTTTCTTTTTTGCTGTATTGTAATTTTAAGTTTTTGATATAAAATTTATTAAAAATGTACTAGAAAGGTAAGTACTTACCCCTATGCAACAATTTTTTAAAGCTCTACCAGTAGTTAAAAAGCAAAAGTAAATTTTATTATTTAAATGGTTTAGAATTAATTATATATGTCTTTATTGTTCGATAGCGAGATTTTTTATCGTACTACTCAGAGATGAAATTTTCCTGTGTGCCTATAGCTAAATATTATTATTTGCGAGTACTTGTAATTACATAAAAAATGAGTACTAGAAGATACCATATTTAGATATTTTTTATGGCTAACTATATCTCTACAAAAATCTTAATATATATTACGATAATGATGTACCCTATATTAAAATCAAATTTTCACTGTTAGCGTCGCGTCTGTCGTCCTAGAGAAGCGTTAACTGCGTTAAGTGCCAACAAGGTGTCTAACATAATGGAATATAATGTTCACCACATTGAAAAAAAACCTTTGTGAACACGACCAAACAATACGTAATGAACATAAAAACTGTACGAAGGTAAAGCGGTGAAAAAAACACGATGGCGCCTTCCGCACCCTTCGAAGGAACGTCACTTCAAAAATAGCGTAAGCGGCTAATAGTTTTATAACACGCATAATGATAAAATTTCTCGCATGAGATAAAATATCTACGTAAAACTAATAAAAATAAAAACCTTAAAAAATATAATATAATAACTAAAATATACTATTAAAAGGAGTCCCTTTAGGCAAGGTTCCGAAGATATTGGCAGCGTTTCCCCTTTGAATAGCTAAACTAATTCTTTGTCCGAGGTAGCTGCCATCTCTTCGATCTCCAGTGATATCGCCTAACCTTTTTGATATTTCCTTGAAAAACCTTATAGCGTCAGGACCCCCCGGACCAAGGGTCCCGACACCGAATGGGACAAAAGCATATTCGGAGCCTAGACCCCTGTATTTGCATGCTTTTGCTTTTTCAGCCGCTTCACAAGCCGCACCAGCTCTATTGTTGGTTCCGTGTAGATGTGAAGGGGCCAGCGTGTCTGAATAGGTTACATCCCATATCTACGTTAAATATTGTTCCTTGTTGTGTCGCCTCAAGGTGTACGCGTATCGGAAGGGTATACTAAAGAGCGCGTATATGCGTATAGATATTGATGTGACGTCGCGAGGGTTAACGTTAGGTAGACGAGCGAAGTGGGCGTGTCCAGCGGCGTAACGAAATAAAAATCTCGCCTCTCCCGTCCGTGCGAACTCGGCTTAACGCAATAAACATTTTAATTTGAACACGAAACACACGCTGAGATGCGAAATTACGAGAGGGCGGCGAGCGAGAAATCAAATTATGAGCGAATTTCATGAGAGCCAGTGTTTTTCTTATGCGCTGATGTATAGGCAGGTACGCCGCGTAAATAGGTTCGTTGCCTCGTGCGTCGGTTGTTTGGTATATGAATTCGGCACGACCCCTACTACACGGGTAGGAAGAAATAGATTTTTTATTTGATTACGATTCACTAATAGATAAATGTTCCTGCCTACAGCAGCTGTAGGTTTATTTATTAAACAGATTTACCTAAATGAAATCTACTTTAATTTATAGTAAATAAAAGCTATTGGGTTAGTCGAGGAAGTTAGGGTTTTTTGGTTTTTTAAATAGTTTTTTATTCTTCTAGTTTTTTTTTGTGAGTGTATGAATGCATTATTTATAAATAAGCAATTTTAACTTCCTTTATAAAAATCTACTTACACAAAAAACAAAACGATGCTTGTTTTACTGACAACAAGTTTTAGTTGTGTTAATTGTATAGCTAAGACGTAAAGTTAAACAAGCAAAATTTTATAATTCTTAGAAATTTTAAGCATTTAACTGCTAGATGTTTCAATTTAAAGAAAATTTTTACAAAAAAAAAGTCCAATCGGACCGGGCAGCAGACGGGACTCGAACCTTGCCTCGCCTTGCAGCCTAAGGCTAGAGAAAAAGAGAAAATTCGACACGGTCTTAAAGGTCGCGGTAGCATAATGGTTAGTGCATTCGCCCGGATAGCGAAGGGTGCGGGTTCGAGTCCCGTCTGCTGACTGGTCCGCGTGGATTTTTTTCTAGTAAAAATTTTCTGTAGATTTAAGCAAAATCTTTTAAAAATATCATCTAAATCATGCGATATCTACCCAAAATTTGTTTCCTACTACCTCATGGAGATAAGTGGTAAACTAAACCTTCTTCCAATAAACGAAACGGGATGCCTATTTCAAAGAGTTCCTTAATCTTCAAGTAACAAGACTCGTTTAAACTTCTATTGAAGGTGGACCATTTATATAGTTTGTCCAACGTCGCTCCGTTGAGTGGTCGCCGGAAACGGCCGGAAGCGACGGACGCCGGCTGCATCACCGAGGATAATACGGTTTATCCGATCCATATGTCTAGCACTTTATGTCGTTGTTATAGATCTTTTAATCCTTTGTCTCTAAAAAGTACTAAATCAAAAACTATCGTTGTAAAAATTTGCTAGTCCCGTAGCAGTTCCAGAACACAGAAAGGAGTAGTTAGTCAAGGAGTTTAAAACAAATAGGTAATCGTGTAAAATAAGGTATTTTTAGTGAAATCCGGACAATATTGTGGTTTTTCGCGATGTTCATGAACAAAATACTGATTAGTTTATACATTATCAATTTGTCACTCCCACTCCACACTATTATCTATAGATGTACAATATTTAAAGTTATGTTTCGAAGGGACTGAAAAGTTATCTTACTAATAAAAAAAACCCTGTAGCATGAGAAAGCGTAGGTGTGGTACCTTTACTATAACTATTAAAAAAACATAAATATTATCATTTCGAACTCAAGCAAAAGAAATCTGGTTTTTAGATAGTCAAATCGTGGTCAAACTGTACTCTTGCGCAGCGAAAGGTAGAGGTTATAACGAAAATAAAGCTTATTAAAACAATATTATTTGTAAACACACGGTTTCAGTTAATTCTTTTTATATTTAAATTAGTTTATCTTACTTGCACAAGGAATATCTTATATATATATATATAAGTTACTAGCAGCCGCCCAAGACTTCGTACGCGTGGAGTTAGTTAGAAATAAAGGTTCACTGCTCGTTCCCCGTATGTGATAGCGTGATAATATGTAGCCTATATGTTGGATCCGACTTCTTAATAATATTAGTGCCAAATTTGAAGTAAATCCATGCAGTACTTTTTAAGTTTATCCCGGACATACATACAGACAAACAGACAAAAATTCTAAAAACTATATTTTTGGCTTCGGTATCATTCTAAACCCCAAGTATTCTTTTAAAAAAATATTCAATGTGCAGCTTTGACTTTCCTACTATTTTATTATATGTATAGATAGGTAGGTTATAGGTAGTCGTAAAATGTCACTATCACTATATTATACAATATTTATTTTAAGGTCATAATTAGTCAAACAATTATTTGATAAATCACAGACAGGTAACAATAAGAAACAGTGACAAAAAATGAAAATTTTCACAATCACTACTCATTGGTCCTAATTATTGGGCTTACCCAAGTTTTAGTCTACGTTAAAAGGTTTGTTTTAAAGTAACAAACTAGAGGTGAAATTTAATAACTACATCATATTGTCGATGACAGGTTATCATCGAATGCTACTGCTGAAAGCTAGTAAACGATAGTTGTGGCGGAAAACTTGGGCAACATGTATTAACATGAGGTGTAAATTACACCTTTGTTTGTGAAGTTGTAATGTAGGTATCGCAATTCTTGTTTTCAATTCATATTACGATGTTTGAGCGGCATTATATTTTCTTTATATCCATTTAATTAATGGGTGATAAATTAGTGGTAACATTTAAATTGAAATTATTATTACACTTTTTTATTATTGTTTTTGTTAAATAAAGACTAGTAGGTGATTCGAATAAAAACTACAGCTTCGGTGTTTTTGAATAGATAACTATTTTAGAGATGACACTTAGTAATAGAGCAATAATGGAAATTGTGTATTCCTGTTGAATTTGTATTTTTTTTATTTTTAAGCATGTAACTGCTTGATGTTTAAATCTAAAGAAAATGTAACTAGAAAAAAATCTGGGTTACCTACAATGCGAAGAGATGGCGCTGCCTTGCAGCTTAAGATAGATAGGCTAGAAGAATTTCGACGCAGTCCGTGAGGGCCGCGGTAGCATAATTGGTCAGTGCATTCGCCCGGATTGCGAAGGGTGCCGGTTCGAGTCCCGTCTGCTGCCTGGTCCGCGTGGATTTTTTTCTAGTTATATTTTCCTGTTGAATTTTACTGATTGGAGGAATCGCAGTACTATAATTAAAGACATCCATCATCAAATTCGTATTCGCCTTCATAATTCATTCAAAGGAATACGCAAGGAATCCGACCGAGTACCAACATACTTAACATTTTCAGGATGACTGCATCGATAATCGCAAAACATTTCGTAGGTAAGTAAGTAGCTAACTTAAAAGCCCCTTCGGTACATAAATAAGAAGATCAAGAGTCAGCCTTTGGGGAGTTTCAGAAGTTTCACCTTATACCTCCCTGTCCCTCCTATTCACCCTACCCATCCCGTGTGTAGACATTAACTCACCTATCTAGCGAAGTACCACTTGAAAATATCGGGTAGCTCGCAGACTTTATATGCATGTGTGTGTGCGAGGGTTCTGCTCTCTGTGGAGGTTGATTTATTTATGACCCTAGATGGAGTGTTCTAAGAACATTAGTACCTATACTAGCACATTCCACCATTTTTATTTCTTTGAAGATAGGTTACAATGTCTTTGTGAAATTGTAAGTACTCTAAAGTAATTTATTTTATTTACGGGATTGTTATGTACCTGCTTTTTTACGAGTCCCCGATATATCGGCACTTCACTGTTGAGGTGCGATCCGACGGCCTGCGTTGTTGCGGGCGCGGCCGAACCGCGCAGGCTTTGCCAAACGTATGAGAACTCTAATGTTTGAGATTTAGCAGTCTCTATACATGATACGAGGTAAATAGAAATCTCGTCTACTTTGTGATGGCATAATGAAGCTGTACTTACTCAGTCGATCCTTTGTGGACTTTACATTTATTTACTTTCTGAATATAGTTTTGGTTTGTGTACATGACACAAACAGTCAATATTGTTCAAATCTCATATCAAAGTGTACGAGATTTCTATTTACCTCGTATCATGTATTGAGTCTGTTAAATCGCAAACGTTAGAGTTCTCATACCGGCCGCGACAACGACAACACACATCGTGGGGCAGTATCTTTACTTCGTGATCATGGCCCTTGCAATAGTACCGAAATATCGGGAAAACACAAAAAACAAGGTACATGGTAGCAATCCCGTACTTAAATAACATAAATATTAATTACTACGAAAGTTTATCAATATACTCTGAATAATTATTTTGAAAGTTTAAACAATATACACTGAAGATATATTTTGTTTCAGTGTAAGCGTAAGTAGAAATCGTTTATTGAACTTGGATGGGTTTTACTCGTGTGTATTAATACTATTGCGATTGCATTAGTGGCACAGGAATCGACTGAGACATGATCACGACCACTCTGTCAAGAGTGCACGACTAGGAAGAGGAAGAAAAGAATAATACTATTACAGTCGTCAGGATTTACAGGGCTTTATTTGTAAACCTATTAAATAGTATTTGTTTCTTAGGTTTTCACGCCCACCACTCATTAAATAAAACAAGTTTCAACGGTATAGATGAAAAGGATGCGAAACGTCATAAATAAATAAATCAGTGCACCGATTAAATAGTATTAAAACCACATTTTTATATATCATGATTATTGGTTTTTGGGAGAATTTGGTAAATGTGTTTCTTTACTAGTGTACTATCATCCTCCTATTCTAAGAAGTTTCTTTAATTTAGGATACACCTATATAATATCTCACAAAGAACAATAAAAGATAACACTCAAAAGGAACAGTGCCTGTCGTAAAATGTTCACTCCAATGTCTCTACTTATTTTTGCATTTAATAGGTAAGTCACTATATCTAATTTCACAAGGAATTTGCGAAAACAATATCTAATATTAATACTTTGCTATTATAGTAATATAAGTTATTTACGAGATTGTTACCATGTTCCTTGTTTTTAGCGAGTTTCCGATATTACTCCGCAGTTACTTCGTGATCATGGCGCTTGCAACAGTGCCGAAATATCCGAAACTCGCTAAAAATAAGATACATGGTAACAACCCCGTAAATAACTTATATTACTATAATGTTAGGGACCATGAAAGTTTAAAACAATAATAATACTTTGCAGTTTGAACTATGAAACTGCAACTTATAATTGATTACAAATCTTCTATCAATAATATACCTAATTCGTCATTTAAAACCACTAAAGGCTCACACAATCGGCCACACGCGAGCTTGGCTCAGCCCGCGGCGCTGCTCGCTCTCAATGCTCATTGTGCTCGCTGAAAGGATTGCTCACAACACGACTGAACCACGACGATACATTTCCCCTTAGTCGATTGTGCTATTTAAATTATATTTCTATACAATCACGATTAGATCGGATCAAGGGAAATTCAAACTTATTGGAGTACCCTCCACTACGTTGAAAGCTTAAGAGTTACAAAGGTCAAAAGAAACTTACATAGCTTTTCGCTTATAGGGTTAGCAGAACATTAAACTTGCGACATGATTAGATATATAAAGGTACAATATTTTTACATACTCTCATAGATGCTATATTTGACGACCTACGTGGCCGAGTGGTTTGTACGCCGGATTTCATGGTGACACCGACTCGAGATGTCCCGGATTCGAATCCCGGTGGGGGCAGATGTTTGTGTGATGAATACGAGCATTTATACTCCAGTCATGGATGTTTAATATGTATTACTATATAAATATGCTTATATATGTACAGTATATGTATTCTATCCGCTACCCTAGTATCCCATAACATAAGCCTTACAGTGCTTATTTTGGGGCTAGGCTAATTGGTGTGAGTGTTGGAAATATTTATTTATTACAGTCATACCTACCATTTCTTGAGTCCAAGTATTACCCAGAAAAAATAATGTCGCAATCAAGATAAATAATAATAATAAAAATAGAATTAATGACTATTATAACAAAATCGATCGTATCAAGCTGTAAGAAATATTCTGCATTGAAAATTTAACAGAGCACTACGATATCACAGATTTTACAGAGCGTTTATCAATAAAGAAGTGAAGAAGTATCGTTACGCGATTCATCAGCGCTGTTGGAAAGCGCGCGCTTGAGTAAATGTATGGGGTTAGTAGTTGCGTTTCAAAGTCGCGCGCTTGAGCAGCGCCGTTCAGTAAACGTTATTGAACAGCGCGCTGCTCAACTAGGGATGAAACGATACGAGTAAATACAAATAACTACTCGATACTTTTCTTTCGATACTAAGGCTTTGTGTGAGCCGTTATTTTGTTTTCGTTAAATAAAACTTTGACTGAATTTGTAATTGTAATATCGTTCATCAAAACTTATCGATACAAGTAAGTATCGATACTTTTCATCTGATACCGACTGGGCATCGATACTTTACGACCGGTACAGTATCGAGTAAAAGTATCGATACCTAGATGGTATCGTTTCATCCCTATTGCCCAACGGCGCGTCTAGCTGCGTTACTATAAAACCAGCCTAAGAAATTCAATGTTCAATTCAGGCGCTTTTGTAATTCTAGGGCGACGCCAACGCGTTCGAGTGACAGCGCGCGCGCATCCTAACCGCGTAACGAATGAATTGTTCGCGCCTCTCAGCTCAGTGCCTGCACAAATCACAATGCTCGTTCCCATTTCACAGAGTCCGTCGAATCGATAACGACAAATCGAATAAATTACAGATTTCGTCATTCGATACCTATTCGTTCCGATGTCATTTCCTACGTTTGTGCTGTTATGCCGATGCTGTTAGAGTTAGAAGTTATTCATGATATTACGTGATTGTAGATTATGAACAGTATTACTTTCATTGCAATAGGGATAATGATAGGGTAAAGTAATTTCTAGTTAGACAGTCAGTTAGATTATCAAAAATTAAAGGACAGTTATTTTGTCAATAAATTAAAAAATGACTAAGATAAAGCGCGATGTTTGGACGTATCAAATGGCTCGTGACGTCACTTCTAAGTAAAAATTGTACCAACGTACGTGACGTCATGCGAAATTTCAAATCAATATATCTCTATAATGTTTTGATTATATGTATAAAAAAACTTGTCCAATACTTTTTGATAATCTAACTGAAAGACAAAGAAAAAAGGTCAGTTATCATCTTTATTGTATCCGTTAATTAATACTTTTCGGTAGCGTAACCAAATTTCCCGTTAAAATATTGGTTATTCATTATTATTGAAGAAGATGTCACGAAGTCAATAGGCGTAACAATAGTGAGTTTAATACTATAGTTACTAATATATAAATAGATATAATAACCAAAATACTTACTAAAATCTTCATGTCCTTGTGATCCGCGGACACGGGGTCGATACTAACCTGAAAAAAGGAAAAGTATTGTGTAAATCATCATAGCATATAGTCTGTATTACTAACACATTAAGTAGTTACTAAAATAACGAAATAAAATATGTAAGGAAATTCACGAACTTAGAACAATTTTAATGAAACAAAAAACTTTAACAAAATCGTGACTTTCGTGTCAGACTGAAAATGAAAAAGGCATGCCCTTGATTCCTATTTCCCACAAAGCGTAGAAAAAAAAACTAATTAGAAAGTCCCTAAAAAGTTAATATCATAAGTCGGTCCGTACACACGAGCGAATTTAATTTGGAACGTTTTTAATTACGGCAGGAGATTCGGTCGGATCGGAGCCGGTCGGTTTCGGCGCCGCGCGGCCGCCAGCCCTGTAATTATGGGCCCGTAATTGCGAGACCCAACAGAGTGCGCCCCGCACTCCGCACCCCGCACCCCTAGTCGCCCACTATCCTATGGCACAGTCATCAAAATCGCTATAGCTAGGTAGTAAGTACCTATAAAGCGTTATAACTCTTCGCTATAAACTGATGACGTTTTCTAAAAAAAGTATCAAATACTTCAGCAGTTTTCCAAAAATCGAACACAATCGGCATTAAATATTGTTTTTCTGTATTCTATTTTTAGCATAAGCCAATATCCAATGCCCATCTTTTTGGTCATCTTACGTACATACATACATACACTACTATTAAACTTCACGTTTATTTTTATCTGAAAAGTTTCAACATGTTTACCAAGTCTAATAGACTCAATTCGTCTTAGTTTGACTTGTGCCCTGATTAAAGAGACTGGTCTATAATGGAATACGTATTTAGTGAACAAGTATTACACAAAGCTTAAATTACTTAAAGTTTCAGGCATGCATGCTTATGTATGCCCAACTTTGTGTAAATTAGAAAGTTTCATGTTATATACCTATATATTATATGCCAGTACGTAAATAATCGAAATTGGAATGGAAAACAATATAAAATGAATACAAAAAAACCTTTATAGATCTGTAAGTACATTCCCAAATCTTAAGAATATTCTCAAACATTCAACAATCCCTATGACAGAACAGTAATCACAATAGCAATTCTAATGTAACGTACGAGTAATTGCCCTTTCGTAATGCACTGGTCGGACCAATGCTTTCTAACCAAGAGTCCAAAAGGATTGCGTTTAATTATCATGACTGGCTTATTGTGAACCGAAAAATATTTTAAGACTGCATTATAATAATTATACATTCGGATTGTATCTAATGATCACTTGGATGGATGGCTCGTAGTATCACCACCTGCGAATCAAACAACTACGGTTTATTTAAAACAGTAGTTCTGCTGTGCTTTAGTGTTTACGTAATTTTGTTTACAGTTATCATAATAGTTTTTTGTCCGGAAGACGAAACAAAAACTGGAGTACCCATAAAGATTTAGTTAGAAGAAAAATTTTCTAGAAAGACGGGACTCGAACCCGAGAATGCGCGTGCGCATTGTGGGTTACCTACAATGTGAAGAAATGGCGCTGTCGTGCAGCCTAAGAAGGGCTAGAGAAAATTCGACACGGCCATCAAGGCCGCGGTACCATAATGGTCAGTGCATTCACCCGGATAGCGTAGGGTGCGGGTTCGAGTCCCTTCTGCTGCCTGGTCCGCGTGGATTTTTTTCTCGTAAAATTTCTTTCGAATTAAACATCTAGCAGTTACATGCTTAAAAAATATAAGTTTTAGTTGATTAAAAATACTATTATAACTAACTAGCGACCGCCCGTGACTTCGTCCGCGTTACCTTTAGTTTTTTGACCACAGAAATCTAACATTTTTCCGGGATAAAAAGTATCCTATGTCGCAATTCATATCATAATCTATATTTTCATCCAAATCCGCTCAGCAGTTTTTGCGTGACCGAGTAACAAACATGCAAACTTTCACATCCATAATGTACTTATTAATTGTAGGATACATCAATGAGATGCCCTTAAAAATTTACTGAATACTTTTAAAATGTATTGCGTGGTCTATTAGTAAATTTTACTAGTTGTGTGTGTGTGTTGCCTTTACACTTTCTCAAATCTTTACCTAATTGTCTATATAAATACAGCACTACAAAGTAGTTTAAATAATGGACTCAGCAAGCTTCTATATACTGTAAAATAAATTGCCAGATTTATTTTACAGTATATAGAAGCAATAGATTTCTATTGGAGTGCAAATCTATTGAATAATCTCTATTAAATATCCTCCTCTTTGTTATCAATGTCATAATGACCATCGTTTGAGAAAATTTGACACCATAAGGCAACTTATGTGTTGCTGACTGTAGTGTAGGAAATACAACATTGTCAACAAGTATTTCAAACGGAAACATATCATACACAGATGGCATAAAGATAAATCATAACGATTGCTGGTGTCATTATAATAGTTATTTAAGCAACATTGTATAATGAGGGGTATTAAAACACGAAGGTGGGTATGTAGAATCACACAAGTGTTATCATACTTAAAAACAGTTGCATACAGGAATTTGTCCAAGGTTCTGAAACCATGGGGCTTTCCAAAGCTGCGTATCCTACGGTTAGCGCGTTCCAGGGGGGCAATCGCCTAACGGCATTGCTATCGCTATCGCTTTAGCTTACGTTTTCATTTTGTTATTTCTGACCGCCGCTCGTTTTTTTTCTTTTGTAATAAGCTATAGCGATAGCCATAGCAATTCCGTTAGGCGATTGACCCCCAGGGCACGCGTGGCCGCGTACGTGATAGGGTTCCGCCGTCCTAAGGTTGCAAACGGAACCCTATTCCTGTCAATCTATCATCTGTCAGTCTGTCCGTATGTCTATATCGTAAACGGAATGAGTTACAGGCTGAAATTTTGGTGTTTTATGTAAAATTCTTGCCCAAAAGCCGTATATTTAGTTTACGATTCAATTTTATTATTTTTCGTTGGGGGAAATCGCATACATGAAAAGGAGAAGAAAATATTTCCAACTGACATCAGATTTGTATAAACACGAAAAATTCTTCATAGAATATGAGTGAAGTGAATTTTTACTTTAGAAGATGAACTTGACCACGGTTATAGTACAGTTTTCATTTTTGTTATTAATTAAAATATAGTTTTTGTTAACGACAGTTTATTAAATTCTTTCTAAGCTGTGGATGTGAGGAGGAGATCGAAATTAATACACATTTATGTATATTTTATTCCTTTTTAGAGTTTCGTACCTCAATCGGCAAATACGGAACCCTTTTAACATCACTCGGTTGGCTGTCTGTTTGTCACATTCGATTTGCTTGAAATCGGCGGGACCCATCAAGTTGAAATTTGGTAAGAAAACAAACACGGACAGATAAAGTAAATAAATTCCAAATAATGGGGGAAATTTTTATGTATTTTTATTTATGAAAATATGTGAGCAAATAAGTTATTATTGAAAAGGACATTTATTATTAGATGTATTATCGAGATGACGACCTCCGTGGTCTAGTGATTTGTACGCCGAGTTTCATGGTGTCGCCGACTCGACTCGGTGGGGGCAGATGTTTGTATGATGAATACGAGCATTTGTTCTCCAGTCATGGATGTTTAATATGTATTTCTATATAAATATACTTATAAATGTACTGTATATGTATTTTATCCGTTACACTAGCATCCCATAACACAAGCCTTACAGTGCTTACTTTGGGGCTAGGCTCATTGGTGTGAGTGTTGGAAATATTTATTATTATTATATTTATTATGTTGCTCTTAGAGCTTATATCTATTAATTAACTGATTTTTTTACAGGTGAGCATGATAATGGCCGGTAAGGTTTTTCACAAAACTTTGGGGGGTGAATTTGAAACTAAAAAATTAAATTTTAGATAACAGTACAGTGTTAGATATCAAAAGAAAGGGTTCAATGTGAAGGTTTTAAACATATTTTTTGTGTAAACACACAAAACGAAGTACAAATGTGAAATGAAAAAAAAATTTAAGAAAAACATGAAAATTGACCTGTCCAGCCCTCTTCCCTTATCTCCGAAACTACAGCGGCTAAAATTTTTATAAGATATGGAATGTAGCTTTTTACTTGTAGATTACAGGACAACCTATAAATAAGACATTTATAGTATAATGGTACGGCACCCTTCGTGCGTGCCCCCGAATTGCGCTTGGCCGGTTTTTCTTTTTTTGCGAATGTCGTTGTGGATTTTGTTTTCTGTACTAATATAAATTAAAATTACAAAATCAGATACTTCCTTCCTATTCAAACTATTTACCTATGCGAAGTACATATATGCACCCAAATCCCTTTTAGTGTTTTACTTGTGTCTCCTCCAGATCCAAACTTCAAATTTCATGTATGGTGACATCAATAAAAATTGTAAAAGTTACAGTTTAATCATACATAGTACTACGATGATTAATATTAATTTAGGAGTTGGAAACAAAAAATATCGCTTTCAATTCACACGTGAAGGTAACAAAATTATGCTACAAAGGCGAATACATTGTGAACTAATAATCTAATAACATTAGCCCCGTAGAGCGAAAGAAAGCAACAAATACTGAATAATACGCAAGTCGCGAAGTCCATTGTACTATAGCCGCCGTCAACCGCGGGAGGTGTTTGTGAACCGTAATCGCACTGCCAATCACACCAATTAAATATTTTTGTTCCCATTCGGGAGCTTTTTTCTCGGCTACGTCTTTGTTCGAATCTCTACATTGTTGGCATATTTACGCGACCGTCTTTTGTTTGTATTAAGTATAATACTAGCTTTCAAAGTACACCACTCCACGAAATTAGCAGTATTATTTTAGGCTTATTCGGTTTACGCATAGCTGAGTTCGATTCAAAGAACTTATCACGAGGCCTTGTGATATCAAATTAATTGAAATCGAATATACTAGAAATCACATGGTGAAAATTTTATTAGTAATGTCCTGCCTGTAGAAGTTTTTCATTTTAAAAATATTATACATTTCACGCATAGCGACATTACTATAAATATTTTGATATGAGTTAAATGTCTAGTTTAATCATAACATTTTATAAAGTATGTGAGCAAATAAGTTATTATTGAAAAGGACATTTATTATGTTCTTAGAGCTTATAACTACGATTTAACTGTTTTTTTTTACAGACGAACATGATAATTATCGAAAAGCTTTTTCACAAATCTTTAAAAATAAAATGTACCTCGTTGAAGTAAGTGTTATTGACATTGTGCGGCGCGGGGTGCGAGCCCCCGTGCTGTTGATAGTACGCGCAGTTCATTATCCCATCAGACTCAGCCAGCAAACTCACAACAATGTCACCAGAACACACGCGTTAAAAAAAAATATTCGAAGAAAATTCCTCGGAGCAATTATCTCGTAACGAATCGATGCGGCGAACGAATCTCGTCTACTAATTGTAGGGTTCGACCGGCGAGTCGACCAAGAGTGCCTTCCCTCTCGCACGCGCGTTTCTCTTTTCCGCCGCGGGAGGCGCTGCTCTCTTCATGAGTTTGTTTACACGCGGGGCGGCGCGAGTGGCACAGGGCGGCTGGAGGGCGGGCTCACACGGCACGCAAAACTAATAAAAACTCGATAACGCATTTTTTACAACCTTAATCAAAGCTTTGAACTTTGATTAACAAATGTGTAGGCTATTATAAGTACTGTTAATGCTCAATTGCAATCATTTATGCAAGAATAGGTTGATTGAATGAGACGTTGCTGCCCTGTAGTTTTTCTAGTTTTCGATCATTTTGCGTGTTCCGCTGTCTAGCATTAACAAAGCTATGAAAACTGTGAGAGTTATAGAATCTCTCTGACTTAATAGAACGTGTTTATTCTTATTTTTTTACTTGCTGTAAAAAAATAAAAAAAGTATTTATTTTTGTTCATTGGTATGCGATAATAATGAATAATTGCAGTACAAATGATATATATTCGAGAAAGTATAACTCCACTCGGCCCAGGCGTCAGGCTGGATTCTAAATAAAGTTAAATGTTTATAACTATGAAAGAAATTAAGCCATATTTTCTTTATTAAGAGCATACTCATTTATTTCCTAATTTACCAATCAAAACAAGCGTTCGGTAAAAATTTATGAAACAATAAAATGTATATATATTTTAAGCATTTAAAGTTTTAATAAAATACACAGGTATATAAATAAACAAAAAGTTTTAATATATGAACCTGCATAAAAATCAGTTGGTATACTTGATCAATATTTTTCATTAAAATAACAGGAAGAAACACTGCTACAAGAGATAACCGCATTCATATTATATGATAACACATCACAAATTCATATTGAGGAAATCGCACCTTTATTCCATGTTAGGGCATCACGTTCGTTATAAAAATTACAAATACGTAAGTAAGTGTTTTTTCGACGTCCAAAGGCAATAAATGTTTCCGGTGGGATAATAAAGAAGGTTCTGTTACCCCCGCAACTATTATAAAAATTGGTCCATTTTTTTACGTCAGGGGCCCAATCTCAGCGAGGGCGGATACGGCTCCTATGACAGGATACAGTCCCGGGCGCTATTGATATCACGCGAAATGCGATCACGTGATACTGTAACAGATGTTATGTTCCTTTTGCATCGTTTTCATTAATGATAAATTTAAATTGCAGTACGAACGAATGGTTTTTTTTTAAATATTCAAATTACAAAATAATTCTTTGAGCATACATAATCATGGAGTTTTTTAACTACAGCAAACAATTAGTAAATACTTTGTTAACAAGAATCCTGAAAAGGGGTGAGGAAAAGTCAAGAATTAATAAAAATTCTGAATATGGGCGCTTCATAAACGCCTCAAAGGTTTTATTTTACAGTATAAGCCCCTTGAAGAACGGTGTAGTTTCAGTAAAAGCTGCAGGCGATTAACTGCAAGTGAAGTAATTTGATTTTAAAGAAAAAAAAATACTAAGTGACCTCTGTTGATAATATGCCACCTCGCAAGGGTTATCCCAAAAATCTATAACGAATTTTTCCCTGGCACAAAGAATGTACATAATAATAGCTTTGTTCCATTTACAAAACTAAAAGCTCTAACAACAATAGCCGTGCAAACAGTTCTTTTTTCTTCATTCATATATTATTTGATTTGACGGGGCAACGTGTAGATGTCGCTGCGATAGGGCGTGTATTTTGTATTGAATATAGAATAACACGCGCAAATGATAGTGATTAGAGCGGCAGTGCGATGGGCGAGGCGCGTGCGCGGTAATTATTGTAATCTGCGCTGCGCTTGCGAGCGCGCCGGTTGGTGCCGACTGCTGTTCTATTGTTGCTGTTAACACATACTTTTGTTTTATATAAGTCTCTGACGTGGTTAACGGTGCCTTTTGACCTTTGGGTGGAATCATCTCTTCAAAGTTTGTAGCCTAGTTTTCTTGACTTCTATTTTAATGTTATAATACATATTGCTGTTATATAGTTATTGGATTACACTTTGTAGTTAGACAGTCCTTATAAGAAGTTAAGAAATTCATTCTTAAAACAATCCAGCAAAGCTGTTACACACATGTTATCAAATGAACACTAAAACGCACTTAAGTATGAAAATGTAGACAAATGATTTAAGGTCCGCGCGCATTCAAAGCGCTTTACCAACTCTAGCAATTGGGCAATGCATACAACATCATGCCTTCCATATTAAAATACATTTTGTAAAGCATTGTACACACGTGCGGGCAACGCGTGCGCACCTGGAGCGGTCCGCCCACGTCGCCGCCCAGCGCCGCCCTGGACCCCGTATCGGATTGCGTTAACAAAAGTTAAAAGAAATCAAAAGAAAGTTATTTGGTAATAATCGGTTACATTTATATTAAACGTATATTCCACCAAATTCTCATAGACCAGCGCTGATGGTAATATCAAGATCATGCTGAGTTGGGACCGTTCTGAGACAAAATGTTATATTGGTGTGTTTGGTTATATTATATTAATGTATGTTATTGTATTAAATAAAGTGATATAGATTCTCCAGACGGAGAGGAGACTCCCACGAGGGGAGATGCCATCTTCCTGGACTAGAGGCACTTGCCAATTCTCGGCTCGAAGTCCCTTAAGGATCTCGCCGTCCGCAAACCCGGTGACGCTGTAAAGGTCATCTACGACATACAGCATACAAACTCAAAAAGCAGGGCTGGTTAAAAATAAATCGTTGACAACATTATATCGTAAGTATACTAGATCGGCCTGCCCATACACCACCTACTTTATTTACGATAGGAACCAACTGATAAAGAGATTCCAATTGCGAAATTTATTAATATTTTTGATAAAATGACAACTTTTCTTCATCACAATCTTTTTGCCTATTGCGATATATTCTTCAACTTCTAATATTCGTTTGGTTAAGACATTTAGTAATAAATCTACAAGATTCCTTACCCGTCTGCAAGTTGCAGAAGGGTTGCAATCCGGTTGCAACACTACACCTACTTCCGTTGCGAACCCAGACGGCTTGGCTACAAAACAAGTTGCACTATTTCTTATAAAAAAGGCGTTATTTTTTCGTCTTTTGTACCGAATACGATAACGGTCTATTTGAGATTATATTTTAATAATAAATACACTTGTTAAGTGTATTAAAACGCTAAAATATTATCTTTAGAAATAGAAAACCTTTTACGAAGTATTGGAAATCTCTAGAAATTTAATTTTATAGCTTTTGGCCTACCTGAGGCACCACATTGTTAAATTTGTTTAAATATCATATCATAATGAAAATGTTATTAAAGCAAAATATAAATGATGGCTAATTTTACATATCTTTCTTGTACTCCGATAGACTTTTATTTTATCAACTTTTTTTAAATTATAGATATTTTGAACAGAAATACCTTAACATATTTCTAATCTTTAAAAAATGCATCTATCACAGAGATTTCTACTGAGTACACTTGATTGATTATCACAAAAGATAATTTTACCAATGCCTTTTCAAAGTTACGATAAAATCCGATTTCATTCCACCAAAGATAATCTCTAATACAAGCCAAAACATTGTCCGAATCTCTTTCACAACATGTGTTACTATTCGGTTATGCAGTATTGTTGTCAAAGTACTTACTCGAACTCATTCATCTCGCTACGTCTGAATAGCTGGGACATTTGACGACAGCTTCCTATGCTAAATCTCGTAATCCCGGAATAAAGGCACTCGTTTAAATGTTTCCGCTGACATTTTGCTCTGGCTGCCTGGGAATCGTCGTCACAATAGAAATGCTCACTTAATGCAGATATTTAGATGTCAGTATTTGACACTGTTTGCAAGTATAATAGAATTAAATGTGAAGAGCGAATTGTGTTATGAACAAATGTTTTGTTCGGATTTGATTCGGCTCGGATAGGAAAGTATGAATGAAATGTAAAATTTTCTAAGATCGTTTAAGGTTAAATCACAATATTTACAGCTTTAATGGTGGTTGTTTCAACAAAAGTGCAGGCATTTTCCGTAGTAGCTCTTGATTTAAATATAAATCGCGCACATGAGTGGCATGCGGGCAGGCGCGAGCATACTGGCATGACAGCGAACTCGCCAAACAACAAAATAAGCCCGTGTAATAATGGTGTTTCCACCCTGTAACAATAACTATATAATAGTGGAGTGCTTTTATGAGCTTTTGTGAGCTTGTCGATGCTCCTACTTCATGTTTTTATGATGGATGCCGAGCGTAGCGCGCGTCGGGTTTGCGTTACAAAACATTTCATTGAATACTTACAAGATTGAGCATTGAGTCGAGAATAACCTTCAATGGGCTTTCTTGTCCATGAATACATTGTTCGGGATGAGATTATCTGCTATCTCTTCGGCACCATGATAGCTATATGAAACGCAATCGAACTTTCTTCATTAAACCCAAAAACAAAATGTTGTTAATTCAAACTTACGTTCTGCTTATAATAATGAAAATAAGAAACAAACAACATGTTTTTCATTCTTCAGAATCAAAAGAGAAAACACTTATAAATGATCAGCATTATGAGTATTGTGAGACCAAAACATTTTAAGTTCATGTATAAAATTATATTTTTTTTAAAAACGGTCACCTAAAATTGCTTGTTGCTATGTTTTTATTTGTAAAATAAAGTTATTCGAATTCGTTAAAGAAAGCTGTAAGTATAGGCCGATTGGATATGAACGCAATCGCTTTAGAAGGAATTAAATCTTCGACAGGATCACGTTAAGAATTGATTCCCATATACGTAAGTTCTCAGTAAAAGGTCGGAGAATTTCTTTAGAGCAGCTGAGATTAATTTACC